TCAATTTTCGATTAAAGTTTATAATCGGTTTTATTTTGTGCGTACTTCACTAAACACAAACACTCGCCAAATTTTATATCAAACGAGAGTATAAGGGCATGTTTGAGATTGCTACTAGAAGTGTTTTTTGACAAGTAAAAGCACTTCTAACTATGTTTATGGGTTGTAAAAGTACTAACCTGAGAAGCATAACTCGAATGTTTATTAAAAAACTATTAGAATTTTTCTACAAAACCACTCGAAACTTATAAAAAATTTGACACTTGCATAATAAAGCACTTATAGCAGAAACACTTTTAACCATAAGTGCTTCCTATACAAGCAATCCCAAACAACCCTAACGGTGCGTTTGTTGCGCCGGACTGTCTCGGACTGGACTAGCTGCCGGGACTAAGCTGGACTGGCTTAGACTGGACTAAGCTGGACTAACTTAGTGAAGCGTTTGGTGCAGTCTCGGACTAAGAAGCAGGATAAGAAAAACAGTACTGTTCACCAGATTTGTGTTTGCTTAGACTAGGACTACAAATTTTTGCCATTGTGTAATAGAGTAAAGCTACAAATCTCATTATATGGGTTAATTGGAGCATATTTTTACCATGTATATTATGAATCTTAAAAAAAATTGACAATTGTTTTGTTTCTATTACCTGCTAATAGAATTGGGTTTAATTTGCAAATGTAGCTTGATTTAAACTCTATCACCCAACAGAAGAAAAATAATAGTGGCCAATACATGCAACTTCAACAAATACAAGTACATAAGATCTCCATAATTTAGAAAAATCCTAGTTAACATTAGTTAACATTAGCCAAAATAGATCTCCATAATTTACAAAATGGCTAGTTAACATAAGCCAAAATACTAGTGCAAAGCTAAGTTATAAGTCATAACATAAGATTGTATGATTAATAAAATACATCCATGTTAACGTTAATAAAATACATCCATGTTAACATTAGCCAAAATCCTCATCCGCTTGCGTTGTCGCTTAAAAGCCTTTGGACGAACACTTTCTTGAGTTCCGGTTTGATTGCCCTGAACACTCCCACATTTTTTGGTTTATCCAAAATAAGAGACAATGCATCAATTTGATCCATAGGAGAGAGACCCATTGCTTCAAGTTCATTAGCTATGTCAGTATGATCTGCAGTACCTTGAACACTCACACTCACACACTGCACAGTCACACACACACACACACGGGGACAGAGTGCAACACACTCTTACCTTCACACACACACTCTGTTTTTATACTCACACACACACACACGCGCACACACACACACACACTGCATACACACACACACTGCACACACACACTGCACACTGCATACATACTGCATACATACACACACACACACACTGCACACACACACACACACTGCATACATACATACACACACACTGCATACACACACACACACTGCATACATACTCATACTCATACACACACTGCACACACTGCATACATACATACTCATACTCATACACACACTGCACACACACACACACTGCATACATACACTACACACACACACACACACTGCATACATACTCATACACACACTGCACACACACACACTGCACACACACACACACTGCATACATACCGCATACATACACACACACACTGCATACACACTCACACACACACTGCATACACACACACTGCATACATACTCATACTCATACACACACTGCACACACTGCATACATACATACTCATACTCATACACACACTGCACACACACACACTGCATACATACACTACACACACACACACTGCATACATACACTACACACACACACACTGCATACATACTCATACACACGCTGCACACACACACACACACTGCACACACACACACACACACTGCATACATACCGCATACATACACACATACACACACTGCATACACACTCACACACACACTGCATACACACACACACTGCACACACACTGCACACTGCATACATACACACACTGCATACATACTGCATACATACACACACACACACACACTGCACATACACACACACACTGCACACACACACTGCACACACACAGTGCATACACACACACACTGCATATACATACATACACACACACACACACACACACACACTGCACATACACACACACACTGCACACACTGCACACACACAGTGCATACACACACACACTGCATATACATACACACTGCAAACACAGTACATACATACACACACTACATACACTACACACACACACTGCATACATACACACTGCAAACACAGTACATACATACACACACTACATACACTACACACACACACTGCATACATACACTGCAAACACAGTACATACATACACACACTACATACACTACACACACACACTGCATACACTACACACACACCCTGCAAGTACACACACACTGCATACACCCTGCATACATACACACTGCAAACACACTACACACACATTATGCATACATACACACTGCAAACACACTACACACACATTATGCATACATACACACTGCAAACACTACACATATACACACACACTACATACACTACACACACACACTGCATACATACACACTGCAAACACAGTACATACATACACACACTACATACACTACACACACACACACTACATACACTACACACACACACTGCATACACTACACACACACCCTGCAAGTACACACACACTGCATACCCCTGCATACATACACACTGCAAACACACTACACACACACACTGCATACATACACACTGCAAACACTACACTACACACACACTACATACACTACACACACACTACATACACTACACACACACACACTGCATACATACACACTGCAAACACAGTACATACATACATACACTACACACACACACTACACTACATACACTACACACACACACTGCATACACTACACACACACCCTGCAAGTACACACACACTGCATACACCCTGCATACATACACACTGCAAACACAGTACATACATACACACACTACATACACTACACACACACTACATACATTACACACACACAGAGACACACACACACGCAGACACACACACACAAGCACAAAGTACTCCCATTGTTGAAACCCCAATTTTTAAAAATCGAAAACAACATATGGGTAGGACTTCCAAGTTTTACAACATTGACATCCTAAATTCCCAAGTTCCATCTCATCTTATGAAAAGCCCAAATCCTAATTTCAATTTCACCTAAATATCAAAACCCTAATTTATTCAAGTGCATATCTCTATGATTCAAAAATTATCAAACCCAAAACAATCAAATCACATAAAACTCAGTAAAATTACCTTCTACAACACAAATACATGCAATTAATAGAAGAATCGAAGTTTACCGTACAACTCAGATGAGGCGAGCAGATGCAGAGACAGGAAGGCGCTCAGAGGAGGATGAGGAGGAAGAAGATGAGAGAGCACGGCAACGAAAATGAGAGGGAACCTAGAGATGAGGACGAGGGAAGACAGGAGGAAGGGACGAAGGGACGAAGGGAAGGCAGAAACTCTCTCGGTTTGCTCTGGCTTACGAATCCGCTGGGTTTTGGGGTTGCTCGCGAAGACCACCTAAGGAGGTCTTTAGTCCGACCGAGTCCGGCTTAAGCTCATTAAAGCTAATCCGGTTGCACACCAAACACAGGACTATAGTCCTGTCCAGTCCAAGCCTTGCTAATCCTGTCAAACAAACGTGCCCTAAATGAGATGATCCAGTTGGCTAAAATAAAGGGAAAAAAAAAAAGGAAGGGGACTTACGAGAAGACTGAAGCCGGAGACGGCGCAGAAGGAGATGGCAATGGCGGTGCTCGAAAGAGAGAGCTGGCCCAGATGACCGACCATCATAATTGAAATTATTTGCAAAAAGTACTGTGACAAATTCACCGCCACCATCGGCGCTGCTATGTACCCCAACCGCTTCACTTCCCCTCCAAACGCACCGCATTGTCTCCTCCTCACAAGACCTTCTCCTTCTCCTCCCTCATCTTTTATCAACAAAATCTTCTCCATGCTAACTACAACGTTACAACTCTATACATTCTCCACTCAATCATAATATATAGAGAAATTATCTCAAAAACGGAATTTTCCATGGACTCTCTATCTTCTCATATTTTAGCACATTATTTTATAAAATTAATATGAAAATTGACGTTAAATGGTGTTGACAGAAAGTAGCATTCTCTTTCTCTAATTATATTATTTGTTATTATTATTTGATGGTTGGACATAATTATTACTTTGATGAAAAAATTTGTTTGATGGTAAGGACTAATTATTACCTTGACGAAAAAAACAATGTAATTACTGTCCAATTGATTGCCTTGGCCAAGAGGTTTTTCATCGGATTTCTTTATGAGGATTTTGAGAATCCTTAAATCACATTCGTTTATCCTATATCATACCGTTAGAAGTTATTGTATATTTTTTTATTTAAAATTAAATATAAATAGTATCTGATAAAAATTAATCGCACGATATACGATAAATATATATAATTAGAAAATCTCAGGATCCTCTCTCCGCGTTGGCAACTGGGCGTTTTCGTATCGAATTGTCTTTTGATACGTGAAGATTTGGAAGTTTCAAGAGTCACATGGTATTTTGGGCAACGAGATGAGAATCCACGCGTTCGATTCAGCCGTGAGCTCTCTACACGAAAGAGATTCTTTCCTGCAACGATTGGTGTGTAATCAACACATGACGTGCAAGGCACTCATATGAATGTGTACAGATATTTGAATTTCATCCGGATTTTTTTGTAAGGATATTAAAGAGTTTCACATCCTATTCGTTCATCGCATAATGTGCAGTTAAAAATTATTTTTAAATTTATTTTTAAGTTTAAACACAAATAATATTTAACGAAAGTTGACTCTACGATGTACGATAAACAGATAAAATGTGAGGATTCTAGGATCCTCGTCCTCATCCATATGCGGGTATATAGCTGGTTACGCTTACTATTTTAGTAAATTGCCTTGCAAAAAGGTTGGTGAATGGTGATAAAATAATTCTATAAGCGGTGGATTGTCTCGGTGATGCAAATTTAATAATTTTCTTCGTCCTGTCGCATCCGGCTTCGAACAAACCCTCTTCTTAGAATGCATCAATATTGCTAGTCTAGTGATCGAACCAGAGCACCCATGGATCCTGCGATGCATCCCAACCTCTTCACTTTGAAAAAAAAAAAAAAAAAAAAAAAAAAACCCATGTTAGACAACCACTACTTCTTTGTTGCATTCTCTACTGTATTTGGCAATAGCAGGCTGTCTTCCATGGTGGTGTCTTCTGCTGTGGAACTCAATAGCCGCGGCCGCCTCAGGTGCTGATGATGATCACCCTACGGATACTGGGGATTTCGATTTGGGTAATGTTGTGATTGGCTCATATAATTATGAGTTGGCAACAATTTCATCTCAACCATGTGGAGTGCTAGCTACTTTCGGCTAAAGAAAGGAACAAAGGAAAAGGGAGACATCTACTTTTGGTTAAAGAAATGGACAAAGAAAAAGGGAGACATCATCATGTCTAGCCCTTGATTTGTGGCCTTTTCAAAGGTGGTTTTCTTTTGTTGTTATAAGTGGAAGGATTTGCCGAAGGATGAAAGGGCTTGCCGAGTGAGAGGGTAAGCATCAGAGAGCATCCAAGGGGGAGAGCATTTGGCTCTCCCATGGGAAAGCATGGGCACGGGTGAGAGAAAAAGAGAGTTAGAGTGAAAAGTATTCTAGTGAAAGAACTCTTGGGGTAAAGTGAGGCTCTTGGGAAAATTCTATGAGTGGGTGTGCAAGGGATTCGGGATTGGGTTATGTTGATTTAACTCATGTGTACTTGTACTGTTATTCTCATAGTGAAGAGCAATATCTCTTCGGGAACCTCGTAAATTTCTCGGTGTCTTTATTTCTTGTATTTTATTCTGTTCAACTGAGTGTGATTTTGGTGAGGTTGTAATTTGAATCTCGTTTCCGCACTAACGAACGGGCCAAGGCACAACAGGTAATATATACATGAAGAGATGAAGAGAAAGTTCTGACATTCGGAGGCCCAAAGTTTACATTTCTGTATGCAAAGAGTGGTAGTATACAGCCAATATGACAGCAAGAAAAACAGAGCAAATATTGTAAGGCTGATTTGCAATGAAAAAAAATACAAAGACAAAAATCATGTTGTACACATTAACTTTCGATATAGGGGTTGAGAAAGAAGTAATATTGTACTGGATGTGTGAATTTGTATCGGTTATTGTTGATAAATTGCATAACTCAGCTGGGTTTTTGTCAACCGCACATATTTTATCATGATAAAATTGCTGATTCGGAACTCAGCTGCTCTTACTTGCCGTGTGCATTCTGATACAGATTTTAAGCAGCAACCGCGACGCTATCCTGAGATTCAGGACACTGTGTTGCACTCGAGAAAGATCTCACTTGATCGTAGTCAAGACAGAATGTCACAAGCCAATATGTGTCAAACATATTCGAATGTCTTATTACAAAAAATTTCGGTGCATGAAGAATGGATAAAGCTAATGCTTTCTCCTTAATCCCGCGATAGAGAGAAATGTGCTAATCAAAACTAATTACTCTCTGCCTTGTCACACAAGGCATTAACTTCCAGGGGGCTTCTGTCAAATATCCTCTCCCTTGCCTTACTTGCCTGAAACATAAAAAGACCAACATTAATATCCTCGAAACCACATGAAAGGAGGTCGTGCTTAATGAAATGTTGTGTCTGTGGTTGGTTTTCAAGTAGGGAGTTTGAAGAAAAAGAACATATCGTTGTACTCGTAAGAGAAAATGTTCTTCATCTTTCGTCCCGACTTCTTGGCAACCAAATAGAGAATTTTGAAAATGAATGCGGAGAAGATCGAGTTAGGGTCGAGGATTTAACCTGCTTTTCCCAATTTGTACAACATGTTACTAAAGCGAGCAGACTGACTTGCACAAAAGCACCAACTTGTATGCCAATCCAAAGGCCCCTTCCTCTAAGCTGAACCCAGAAAGCCAACGCGATAGCAACGGGGATTCCACAAAGATAATATGCTCCAAGGTTGATGTAAGCCCCTATGTGCTGCCACCCAGTTCCTCTAGCAATACCTGATTTAGCGGTTCAAAAAACATATAACATTAGATCCAAACACGAATGAAGTTATTCTTTAGAACAATGCTTAATCCTGTAATACTATCGGCAGAAGATAAGGCAACTGACCTGTAAGGACCCCGTGCATACTGTCTAGTATGACAGACAGGCAAATTAGAGGAACCATGATTGTGACGTAATCGATGACTTCTTTCTCGTTGCTAAAAGTGTAACCAAATACTTTCCGGCAGGCAAAGAGGGTCGTGGTTGTTATACTTGTCTCTGCGACTGCAAGAAACATCGCAGCAAAAGTAGCTATACGAGCACGTTGTGGGTTACCAGCTCCCAGTTCATTTGAAACTCTAGTACTGTACAACACCCAAAGGAAAGAAAAAGATAAGTTATTGCTTATTAGAGATCTTTTTATGCAAATTTAACTGCATGGCGATTTAGCACGCAAATACGTATAGTTTGATGGAACTTAAAGAGTTGAGACTTAAGTGCGCAATGTTTGAGCATACCTTACTGCAGCACCAAACGCATAGGGTATTGCATAGATCGTTGAAATCGCCAGAAGACTATCCAAACCAATCAATTAGAATAACAAGAAGCTTTCTAAATGGAGATCAAACTGGATTTTTTTTCCTGCATCGTTTAGTAACTGAAATGAAACACAAACAGAAACTTACCATGCAGACAGAACTGAAGTTTCAAGAGCCGGATTTGGTAAAAGTCCAGACAGAAATATAAGCAGCTCGAACGACCACCACTCAAGGCTACAACCATCAACAAGAACCAAGACAAAGGAAAGAGAAATTGTAAGACTAAGAAATTAAGCATATCGAAATCTCTTCTTGAAACTAAAATACAGGGAGAAACTGGCTACCATTGCATTACTGCAGAAGGGAGGGCAAAGCGAAAGAATTCTCCGATACCGTGGAATATATCCTTCGAAATTGGAGCACGAGTTTTTGAACAGGCAGGGGAAAACTTCATGTATAACCAAAGAAAAATCACATTCAACCAATAGGAAATGCCGATTGCTAATGCTCCTCCAAGGTGTTTCAATCCAGACTTGAATATTAGAATCCAGCAGAGAGGAATATGGAATAAAAAGGTGACGAAAGAGGTTACGAGCATAGGCATTACTAAACTTTGTGTTTGAAAGTATCGAATGAGCGGTTGAAGAGTTGCATAAGCAAATAAACCAGGAATAAGCAAGATTGTGTATTTTCCGGCTTCGCGAGAAATCGCAGGGTCTTGACCGGTGAAAATCAGTATCTCCTCCGTGTATATCCATATCAAAGATAAAGGAAGACAAACCATGTTGAGAGAAAATATAGCAGTGTACGTTAGAAGTCCAAGTTTCTGATATTGCTCAGCTCCATATGCTTGCCCACATAAAGTTTCCAGTGCACTTGCCATTCCCAACTGTTCATACAGATTATTAGAGACAGATTATAAACATCTACACTACGAAAATCGTCATTATTTCGATATTAGTACTACATCTACGCTAAAATTCGTACCATATCATCCGTAAGTTTGTGTTATAAGATTATCATTAAAATTTAAGAAGGTCCATGTTATACACTATATACACACAACATGCACAGCATTGATTCCAGCATGGTTTGGGAACAATTTTCTGTACATGAAACATTTCAGGGGACAAAGGAGTTATAATAGGCGACCCAAGCCAACAAGGTTTTCCGCTTTGCGAGGTTCAGGGGAACGTCTATCTTACGCAGTGTTACCCTTACTTTGCAAATATATGTTGCAAAGAAGTTATGAGAAAGACAAATTAATCTGCAGTGGCAGAGTCCAATTAAACTCACAATACTTCATACATTCCGTAATTAGGCGTTAATTATGGACTCGTTTAGAAGAGCTTTTTGAATGAGAAAGTGCTTTTAGCACGAATGTTTTTAGATGCTTTTTGTTGAAAGCATTTAAGTGTTTTTTTAGGATTCTCTTGCATTTTTACTAAGGAATAGTTCCATATATATTTTTACTAGAAACACTACTAGCCATTTTACAAGTATTTTCAAATGAACACAAAATGACGTAGGTCTTCAAACCCAAAAACAAAAACTGTGGGACCCTAAACATTAGCAGGTCAGTTTTTCAGAATGAGGATTCTCTTTGTAGAATCTCAAGGATCATTTAATCGTATTTTTTATATCGTGCGACTTCATCAGTTACTATTTATATTCAATTTTAAATAAAAAAGTTTAAAATAATTTATGATCACACGATATACGATGAACGGACATAATTAACGATGAACAAATACTATTAAAGGATATGGGGAATCCTCGCAAAAGGATCCGTAGACATTCAGTTTTTCATGCTTTGGTCATTTGTCAATGCCTAGTGGAATCCAAACGGCAGTCTTTCGGACAGTGTACAATAACATCACAGAAGACCAGATCCAAATTGCAACCCAATGAAAAAAAAATTAATTAATGAAAAACTAAATACGAAGGACGATTCAAGTTTGCTATTCAGTTCCGCTACGGAATTCGCTATAATCTATAGTGTCATTTGTCCTTGAGAGACATAGACAATACAAGTTTTAATTTGATTCGTTCTAAATTAGTTAAAAAATATACATTAATTTTATGGTAAAATATTATAATTATAAATTTCACGATTATATTTTATAGTTATTATCATCAAAAATGAAAACACATCAAAATAATTAATTTTCTTAATTGTTTAATCAAAATGTTATTAAAATATTAAAATATTCTTAAATTAATAGAACCTATGTTTCATTCTTATAATATAAAATATTCTCACATTAGTAAAACCTGTGTTGTATTGGTACATCAACATTCGTTGCCAAATGGAACCTTTATTAAGTTTTGTGAATTTAACTGTTAAAAGATGGCATTACATGTATGAAGCTTACCTTTTTATTGACATGAATGTTTGAGCCACGTAGACAAGAAATTAATTAATAATTATTAAAAATGGTTGAACAAGACACTAAATCAATTCGGTGGTATTGATACGGAATTCGGACCGTATCCGGCAATTACAGATCAGATCAAAGGTGAAGTTTTGCATACATAGGTTAAGCCAATTGGTAATAATAGTGACTTGAGTTCAAAATCCTTACGAATGGCGGGAGCAGCTTAGAATATCGCATTGCAAAAAGATATGGAAGTTTTGTTCATAAAAAAAGAATGGAAGTTTTGTGCATTCTAGGTATGGTGAGGTTAATTGGCATTTACACAACCCGAAACCAAACATAAAAAACAGCAGTGGATATTAAAACAAGATGGAAGGAAGATAGACTTACGAAAAGACTGAAGCCGGTGACGCCGGCGAGGGAGATGGCTATGGAGGAACTGGAGAGTGCAAGTTCACCCAGGTGACCAACCATCATCATTGAAATAAACCGCAGCATGTACTGGGATAGAACCACAGCAACCATTGGTCCTGCTATGCATCCCAACCTCTTTACTTCTTCAAAAAAAGAAACCCATGTTAGACAACTACTACTACTGCTTGAATTTCTACTGCTTCTTTGTTGCTCTTCTCTGTATTTTGGCAATAGCAAGCTCTCTTCCATGGCGGAACTCAGGCGGAGGCTGCCTCAGGAGCTGATGATCAACCAGTAAGCCTAATAGCCTATGGACGCTGGAGATTTGGAAAGTTTTGACCTTTCATGGACATTGTATATGCACAGGCCAAAAGTTTACCTTTGCTTATGAATAAAGGCTGCCTGGTGTACAGCAAACATGACAGCAAGAAAAACAGGGCAATTATAAGTCTTTATTTGCTAGGCCACAAGACAGGCAAGATTATAGGCCATACTTCGAGCCTCTTTCCGAAATTTAGATAAATTTAGGGTAGAAAGTCGTATTAAAAAGAAAAAAAAAAAAGTGAAGCAACCAATTTTGATTAATGAGGTGATATGAAGGAATAAGGTTATCTCCAACCGATCCGATCAAAAGGTCATACGGCTAAAAATAGCTCGGAATGACACGAAAATCATCTCTAATTGAAAGCTAGGCCAAAGGGCTCGTGGGCCTCACCAAGCCCAAACCCCCAGGCCAGTGGGCTGGCCATTTCCAGCTAGCCAGCCAGCCAGCCCTCCAGTGCCAGAATGTCAAGCTTGACATTTTGCCAGCCTTCCAGCTCCAAAATGTCAAGCCCTCTAGTTCAATCCATTTGAATGCTAACGGCAACCTAGCGTCAGCATGACTCCAATTAGCAACGGTTAGCTAACGTCTTGATGCCGTCAGTTTATCGTTGGAATTTTATTTCTTATTTTATTTTTGAGGAATTTAAAAAAAAATCTAATTTTTTTTCTATAAATACCTACATCATTCCTACAACATTAAAAGTTGAAGATAAGAAGTTTCACGTATCCTATCCAAAATTTGCACAACCAATTACATTTTGACATGTGACACTCGAAATCCTATCCGAAAAATTATTAAGATTACATAAAGATAAGAAATTTAGAGAGTTACTCACTTTAACGACACGTGTCACTCGAAATCCTATCAAAAAAATTATTGAGATTACATAAAGATAAGAAATCTGGAGAGTTACTCACGTTAGCGACACGTGTCACTCGAAATCCTATTCAAAAAAATTATTGAGATTATATAACGATAAGAAATCCAGAGGCTTATTCATTTGGCAACAAGTGACACTCAAAATATGTCTGAAAACCTTATTTTAATATGGTAGTTTAATTTAATTAACCATATTAATTTAATTAAAAAAATAAATTATGTTTGGCCTATGACCCTTTGGCCCCCTCGGTTGGAGATGATTTTTTGTCAAATGGCTATGTTTGGCCTATGACCTTTTGGCCCATTCGGTTGGAGATGGTATAAAATACAGCCTAGCACGGTTCATTAAAATATAATTTATTGTAGGACTATAGGTTGAACATGGCCATTTAGCCCTCTTTCGGTTGGAGATGGCCGAAAAGAAGGCCAAATGACTCCCTTTAGCCCTGAAAAACAAAATATATTTTAATGAACAGTGTTTGGCCATATTTTATACCATTTCCAACCGAGAGAGCCAAAAGGTCATAGGCCAAACATAGCCCTTTGACAAAAAATCATATCTAACCGAGGGGGCCAAAGGGCCAAGGCCAAACATAATTTATTATTTTAATTGAATTAATATGGTTAATTGAATTGAACTACAATGTTAAAATAAGATTTTCGGATATATTTTGAGTGCCACTTGTCGCTAAATTAATAAGCTTTCAGATTTCTTATCTTTATAAAATGAAAAGGATGTGAAAAATTGGTGAATAATTGAAATAAAATGAGGTAATATAGTATGGAATGGTGAAAATGATGTGAGAAATATGGTAGAAATGACTTGGGTATTTATTAAAAAAAAATAGATTTTTTTTCTTTTAAATTTCATCAAAAAATAAAATAAAACTTTAACCTGACGTCAGGTAACATGTGCTTGGGTTGGGCTATAAGGCTGGCGGGCTAGCTGCTCTTGGCCAGCCCATTGGTCAGTTCTCCTATTTTTGGCCGGATGGGGCCTAAGAGCCCTTTGGCCTAACCTTCGGTTGGAGATGATTTTTAGGTCAAAACGGGCTATTTTTAGCCTTACGACCCTTTGGCCGGATCGATTGGAGATGGCCTAAGTAGACATGCCAAAAATCTCCATTTTTGGTGCACATGATACGAAGAGATAAGGAGAAAGGCATTGTATACATAAAAGCAGAGAAGTTATGGGAAATCTTTATTTGTTAGGCTACAAAAGCAGAGCCAATGTGACAGCAAGAAAAACAGAGCAAATACTATAGGGCTTATGTGCGCGTTAATTTCGATATATGAGTGTTTATCCTAAAAATTATCAAGCGTTCCAGGCCGAATAGGTAATAGCTAATTATGTTTTTCGGTTGAATGCGGAGCATGTCAACTTGGTGACCGAGCTCGAGCTTAGTCGATGAGTAAATGAGTGGTGGTGGTGTCGAACGAGGTGCTAACTTCAGTTTTTCACAACTGCGACTGAGGAAGGAACTTGTCTCGACCTTTGGGTTCTATAACCTAAAGGCAAGACTGCTAGTTTCTATGAAGTTCAATAAACATTCAGCTTTCAATGTGCCGAATGACATAACCTGGTAACACCTCACTTCGTTGAGAAAGCTAATGAAGTGACCTCTTCCAACAAGGATGCAAGGACCTTTTGTTGATAGAGATTTGGATAAATAGTCAACCGAACTTGGAGTAGAGCTATTTCAACAAATTGCAAGGTACTCCTTGATCACTTGATTCTACGGCTCCAGAACTATTTCTAGAAATTACAAGATGTCGCCGATTGTCAAGTATAGAGCCATTTCTACAAATTGCAAGGTCTGCTTGACGAAGTTAGGAAGATCCGTACTTTTCTCAAAGATGAGAGGGTTTCACATAAAGCAAAAGTTTGCACATGATAGATCTGTGTGTTCAAGAGTTTGCACATGATAGATCTGTGTGTTGTCTCGAAGGTCCTTGAATGTTGTCTGGAGCTTTACATTTATGAGGTGAGTCTGCTCAGCGAACAAAATGAATACAAGATATTCATTGTGACAAATGATCCTCACTTGGCATTACCCACTTAAGCCACGTGCACCAGATCGACTCAAACCATGCAATAGAATAGGATAGAGTCATGATATTTCAAAACCCTCTTGTGATTTGGCACCCTCATCATCATTTGGTGGGGATGAAACTCCATCTTTATCTCTTCTTTTTATTTTTTGGCATCTTAGGCTTTGACCAACCGGGGTGTGCATGCATAATTTGCATTGTTTATCTCTTCTTTTTATTTTTTGGCATCTTAGGCTTTGACCAACCACCCCGTGCATGCATAATTTGCATGGAGGGTAGCTAATCCCCATGCTGCCATGCAAAGTCATAAATCCCAAACACGTGCCCACCTTAACGAGAGATTTTTCAGTGTAATCGGCACACGAGGTGATACACCACGTATCACTATACAAATTGTGGAATTTGTAGGTTAAAAAGTTAATAATTTAAAAAATAAAATTTATCATTACTTACATAAAAATATGTGATGTACCATCCGTGTTCCCATCACAATGAAAAATTTCTTCACCTTAACAATCCTTCATCTCATTTGAATTTGTGGAATTGGAAAGCAATCACACTGCTTATAAAATCAAAACGTGATTGCGTGGGAGAAGGATTCTATCATCTTTACTTTGTTGCTGTCAAAACATTTTAAATAAAAACTCCAAGATGATTATCATGATAAAAACCAATGATAAAATCTTAAAGAAGTTATCAAAAACATTTATTTACTCTCGAAGCTATCGGAGGGTCTCACTCAACGGCCACGATTGCACGGGTGGGCAGATAGATTAAAATCGGGTACAAACAATGGGTCATCAGAACTCAGCTGCTCTTTGTTGCCCGCGTTCATTGTCATACAGATTTTGAGTAGCAAATGCAATGCTATCAGGAGACTCGGGACACCATGTTGCATTTCAAAACGTCTATACAACTTGATCGTAGTCAAGACTGAATGCCACAAGCCTATATGTATCAATGATATGCGAATGTGTTATTACTCTCTGCCTTGTCACACAAGGCATTAACTTCCAGGGGGGCTCCTGTCAAATATCCTCTCCCTTGCCTTACTTGCCTGAAACTTAAAAAGACCAACCTTAATATCCTCGAAACCACATAAAAGGAGGTCGTGCTTAATGAAATGTTGTGTCTGTGGTTGGCTTTCAAGTAGGGAGTTTGAACAAAAAGAACATATCGTTGTACTCGTAAGAGAAAATGTTCTTCATCTTTCCTCCCGACTTCTTGGCAACCAAACAGAGAATTTTGGAAATGAATGCGGAGAAGATCGAGTTAGGGTCGAGTATTTAACCTGCTTTTCCCAATTTGTACAACATGTTACTAAAGCGAGCAGACTGACTTGCACAAAAGCACCAACTTGTATACCAATCCAAAGGCCCCTTCCTCTTAGCTGTGCCCAGAAAGCCAACACGATAGCAACGGGGATTCCACAAAGATAATATGCTCCAAGGTTGATGTAAGCCCCTATGTGCTGCCACCCAGTTCCTCTAGCAACACCTGATTTAGCGGTTCAAAAAACATATAACATTAGATCCAAACACCATTCTTTAGAACAATGCTTAATTGTGTAGTACTACCCGCAGAAGATAAGGCAACTGACCTGAAAGGACCCCGTGTATACTGTCTAGTATGACAGACAGGCAAACTAGAGGAACCATGACTGTGATGTAATCGATGACTTCTTTCTCGTTGCTAAAAGTGTAACCAAATACTTTCCGGCAGGCATAGAGGGTCGTGGTTGTTATACTTGTCTCTGTGACTGCAAGAAACATCGCAGCAAAAGTAGCTATACGAGCACGTTGTGGGTTACCAGCTCCCAGTTCATTTGAAACTCTAGTACTAGTACTGTACAACACCCAAAGGAAAGAAAAAGACAAGTTATTGCTTATTAGAGATCTTTTTATGCAAATTTAGCTGCACTGCGATTTAGCACGCAAATATGTACAGTTTGATGGAACTTCAGAGTTAAGACTTAAGTGCTTAATGTTTGAGCATACCTTACTGCAGCACCAAACCCATATGGTATTGCATAGACCGTTGAAATCGCCAGAAGACTGTCCAAACCAATCAATTAGAATAACCACGAGCTTTCTAAATGGAGATCAAACTGAAATTATAATTTTTCCTGCATCGTTCTTAGAATATCTGATTGGCATCTGAAATGCAACAAAAACAGAAAACTTACCATGCGGACAGAACTGAGGT